GAGACTCTTTTAAAGAGACGAAATCACATAAGATACTTGAACAAACGAGGTTTATGCCTTTTTTAGACCACTAAAGTATATAGGGGACATGTACAGGTACCGATTTTCTCCTTAAACGTATAAAGTATGTATTTATACACAAAAGGGCCATGATCGTAACGTTCATAAGTTCATAAAACTGGAATACAAATCCTTATAATAGGTTATAAACGAAATGCCATACAAAGAGACAAATTTTGACACAGAATTTGCTAAGAAGTTGCCTGTGTCATGTTGGAGTTCGAATACAATTGGGAAGTCTTTTACACGATATTATGTTAATATTGAGAGCCATAATTAAAAATCATCTAGGTACATATTAAAGCATATCAGCAAAGTGATAGCTTAATTACACAAAATCTCACTAGTTGTGTTTACGGAAGTAACTTGGTTGAACGAAGTTGGAAACTACATATTGCGCGATCTGTCAGTAGGACTTCAATAATTTGCTTCTCCTCTGAAAAAACAAATAATAGAACTGTCCGATTGATTCCGGAGGATTCATGCACTTAGATGTGTACTTTCGAAATATAGGAAGCGTTGCATTTTGGTATTTTTGTTCCCAGTGGAAATCTAATTTTGATTGTTGGTCAGGTATCTGATAATGGAATTTTCTGTCCATCTATATCTGTTCAGTGCACAAGGGAAACCGTTGAATTAGATGTATGTACTTCCCTAGGCATTGGAAGTTCTCGAATACGAGATCTTTCTCGGCATAAAATATATCCGGCGAGCAATGTACTGTCGAGTGACGAGAAATGGTCTCTCGAGTAGACAAGAAGATAAACCTAAAGATCAACAATCGTACGATTCAATCCCGACAACTACGCAGCGAACGCCTATAGTTAAAAAAACATCCCAGAATATGTAATTACTTATCCGTCAACTTTTGCAGGAATTGTTTTAGAAAATCCTTAAAAAGAATTCACACAAATAAGTCGTGTCTGGTTTCAGGATAAGGTTAAGTTGCTTGCTTGCTTGTACGAATGTGTGCTCTGCTCTGGTTTTTCAGCTAGCTATCGAGTCCCTTGATAAAGTGTGTGCACAGTCATAGCTATCATCCCAACTGAGCCACATTACCGTAGATTAGGCTATATGGAAATTTATAAACTTAACGAGAACACTCTGCGACTATTTGACACATTATGATTCTTTTTAAACTGCTTCTCCCGATAGAACCAACCGGTGCTTCCAACAAACTTTGAACTAGTAAGAATGTTAGAGGTTCCCTGACAGTTGCACTACAAATAATGATGCTCAACAAGACATACAATCATACTCTAGTTTGACAAACTGAACGTAAAGAATGACTGACAGATCCAGAAAATGTTGTTCGTACGTTTCTTCCAAATCTGAGGCCTGGATACAATTTTTTTATTTTCCCATCTTCATCTGCTGTTCTTTGTCCATGCATTAATATAGTTATTACCCTCAATATACCAAGTCTAAGAACACGTTCAAGAATAACCAATGAAAAACTGCCTTAGGGACAGTCCCGCTTTATTGAAAGACTTTCGATGTGTGTTACAAATTCTCTAGGAATTTAATGGGTATGATAATAAGTACAACTTCATTGACTGGTAGTGTTTATATTTTTTCTAAATTTAAGTACTAATTGCCAATGTTTTACCAATCCTAATGCATTTGCCCATATTATTTTTACAATTTCAGCTTAAACATTATTTTAAATTCCTGACATTTTTTCCTTATTGCATATGATTGTGTTTATTGTCATCATCATTCATCGTTCGTCATCAACAACATCATCACCACCGCCACGACTGCCACCGCCAGCAATACAAATGCACAATATTGCAGTTTATAGTAGGCAGTAACAGCAGCAGTAGTAGTAGTAGTAGTGTTCTGGCAGCTTAATGGTAGTGTTGTTGTTGACTATATCATCCAACTAAATAAACCTACCGAACTATGCAAAAACATTCATTGCTTGGGATACTATAGTAGTTCACAAGTATGAGTATCAACCACTACAACAGCAGTAAAGAAATCAACTTGTAATACACATTATTACTTAGCCAGCTAGTACGAGTATGGCTAGTTAATCATTTATCTGCTTGTCGGTCTTTTCTCTCTATAAATCTATATGTCTGTCTGTCTGTCTGTTCGACCATCCGCCTCTGTCTATCCATCTGGTCAAGCATCCATCCATTAAATGTTATAGAAACAAATAAATAAAAATAAAACAAAACAAATCTAAAACGAACTAAAACCAAAAAACTTTCTGTCTCATTCAGCATTTGGTTATGGCACTAGCAAGTACTATATACAAGTACCAGTCGTACAAACAACAAATGTAGTAGTACTAGTGCACTTCCACCACTGAGACTTTAGTTGATCTCGTGTTCATGGCGAGTGTTACAAATTGTTTTATATTACAAGTGTTTAAATATTCCAAGCATAGTGTATCTCTATGTAATCGGCTTGTATATGTAGTATTTTTTTCGTTATGATTTGTTGTTGTATTTTTATGAATAAATCTCTAACACTTAAACACTTGAGAAAGTCGTTTAAGGATGAACACTTGAATATTACTAGTTTTCTAGTTCTTTTTTCTGGGGCCATTATTTTCAAGTAGTTCTAAAAATTTCATAGAAGAAAATTATTTGTTAAATATTACGAATAAATTTTTGGCTTAAAGCCAACATTAAGTTTAAGCTCTTGTAACAATTTTATAATTGACTTTGACTGTATTATTCTCATTTTTAGGTTGGTTTGATACACAGGCTAACTAATTTTAAAAACTTTAATGGACGATATCTCAGTAAACACAAGAAATTGTTCCAAGCTTTAGGTTAAGATACCTCGATGTAGGAAAAAGTTATAACAGAGTTTAAGCCTTTATTTTGAAGACGAAAGATAAGACTTTAAGGCGATATAAAAATGTTATAAAAAGAACATAAATCGGTTTTATCCAACTTTACTAGTTTTGTAAATGGTGTGCAGATTACAACAAGAATAGGATACAAGAGTTGGAGAATTAACATCTCCAAATGAAAAGGGTCTTGATTAATCATTTTGGACATACATACGTACTGAGGAAAGTAGGTATATTGCTATATTTTGTTCCTTTTTTTCAGTTTATAATGAGGACTTTAACATTTTAAGACCACAAAAAGTTTAACTAATGCCTAATTAACCAAGTAATTTATGTTGAATTTATAAAAAAGTAATAAAATTGTTGGAAAATTTTGAAAATAATTGCCAGCATTTCTGTGTAATATCAATTTGTATCGGAAAATATTTTAAATTAGCGTAATATTGAATTTTGCTTCTTAGAAAATTAGATATAACTGAAAAATTTATAACTAATGTCTATACACATTAATTAGTTATAAGACCTATCTCGTACTCTGTAAACTCGGACACCACAATTGAATTTACTGAAACCAATATCGTAGTCGAAATATCTTGAATATTCTTAATCATAAAAAATATGAATTATCCCAAAACTAAAAAAATCGACTCTATCCCTTGTTTACATATAAACCTCAAAACTTCAGAGCATTTACGGCACCTGTTAACGATATCCAATCAGCTAAATTTATTGTATGATATGGTTTTATAGTCAATTAACAGTTCTAGAGGGGGAACCGTTTTAGAATAAAATTTCGATTTTTCATTGATCAAAATCTTTTTTTTTATTATAATGCCACACTGTAAGAAAATCATAGCTCAATTTTGGCCTCATCCATAAACGTAAGCAAATGTTTGAAAATTCTTGGAAGATTCTTGGTTTTAAGCAATATTTGCAAATTGCCATAAGAATTGAAGATGGAGTACTTGATTCTGATATCGTTAAATTTCGAATATTCAAAAATCTAATGTTGAGGAGTCTTATCAACATTACAAATCCAACTATATAATAGCCGTTGTCTGAATATTTACCGTCATAGACATGACCAGATAATATTCTATTCATAGTCTTAATGTCCTTGGGACACCAATCACATTTTGAGTACCACAGTTTCTCCAGAACGAGCAAAATCTTCTTTGTAATGTTAACAATAATGTTCAGGTAAACAAGTGATTTTATATCGAATCTGTATAAAAAATGCAAACACTTTACAACACTATTTTAAATGCATTCTTTACAACTCTCAAAAGAATTAACACAGAACAAAACAAAACAATACAGCAGTAAAATAAAAAACACCGACTGTCAAGTCATTCAATTTTTGTTGTTGCAGTATAGCTTAAATTTCTAAACAAAAAAATAAACAGTAACGATATAATCATTTCAATTAGTTTTTATTAACATTACTTGACGCACGAAAGCAGCTAAATACCAGTAGTTTTATATAAAAAAGAAAATAAATACCCCCACATAACTCGACAACCAATAAAATAGACTACACTACCATCGAAAGAATTTCGTCAATGACCCGTCTGCTTAAATTACATTTTTGTTTAATTTTGCTTTTTTTATTTTCAATTTTCGTTTTACATTTTACGTTTTACGTTTTATATTCGTTATTTTTTATACGGTAAAATATTTTCATTTGTTGGCATTTTTTTTTTGTTTTCTTTTTTGCTGCGTTTTAAAATTTTTGTTGCTATTTTAATATTCACTAATTATTCATTATTTATTTGGTAAATTGTTAAAAACCTCCACAAATTTTTTTGTTAATTTATTTTTTTTTTAATTTTTTCTTGTTGTTTATAAAAAACATCAAAAAAATCAACATATACGAAGAAGAGGAAGAGCATAACTGGTTGATGACGATGTTGATAATGAAGTTGTTAATTAAGTTGAAATTTAATTAAAGAAACAAAGTCAACAATAGATATTAAGAAAAAAACTAAAGTCCAATAACACCAAATGGAAATTTTAACACAAGATAAATTTTTAAGTTTATTTTAAAATTTTTTCATTTTTACGAAGACTTTCGAACACAATTTATTTAATTTATTATTGGTATTTGTTTTATTATTTATACACTTACTTTCATATTGTGGATTTGTTGCACATAGATTTATATTGTAAATAATTAGAAAAATTGTTAAAATTCCGATTGAACGAGCACCGACTTTCGCCATTTTTGATAAACTGAAGAACGAAGTAAAATTTGAGAAAAAAATACTCGAAACGAGCCCTGCGCCGACAAATAGTAACGGCGTCGACGACTGACACTAAATATGTCGGCGGCGGCTCAAAATCGACTGTAAGCTGGCTAAGTTTTCAACTACATTTAGTTTTAAAATTTTCAACGATTTTAAAAAGGAATCCGAGAGATCAGAAAGTGGGATTTTGGAAGCAAATATATTGTTTATAATAACAAAACAGAGCAAGTACAAAAGTTGTGTGAGAAATTATGCAGGGATGGATAAAAAATTCTTAAAAATTAAAAACAAATCCTTTCTCCAAGTTTTACGAGGTTCGGCCTTTATTTGACCCTATCCTCCATATAAAACAACTTGCAGAAAATCAGTTTCTAAAAAAATTTTGCATTAAGAAAATGTTCAATAACGTAAAAACAAAGACATTTTATTTATTTATTTATTTATTTATTCAGTAATAAAAAAGCCAATTTGGGCAAAATAATAATACATAGTCTGTTCTGTAAACCGAATCCGAGTAAATTTCTCGTTTAAAAACGAATTCGCATAATTTTTCTCATTTTAAAACCGAGTACACAAATCTAGTGAAAAGTAAATCGAATTAAATTGTATTCTAATAAATTAAATAATTATTTTTCTGCGTTTTTTAATACAATTGTAACTAGATATAAATGCTATGGGCATTTTAAACTCTTTTTCATATAAAAGCTGTGTTCCTTTACTTGTCATCAAGGCGAATTCAGTTCCCCGTTTCTGTAATTCTCGTATCGAGCAAATCTGTCGAAAAATTCATGATCATCTTGTGTAAAACAGGGTGAATACAAGAAATTTCAAAATTTCTTATTAAATTTTAATGAGTACAGTTTAAAAATAATCAGAGTCACACTGTTAAAGACTGGAAGACTATTATATTTTAAGTTTTTTCTCGATTCGAAAAAATTACAGAAACGAGGTACAGATAAGGTGGTGGCAGTTCGGCAACAACAAAATTTATATAAGGTGGTGTTATTCAATCAGCTGATAATTTTTTTCTTAATTCGCATGGTTTACGTAGCTGTCAAAGTTTGTTATTGTTTACATTTTTATATTTAAAAATGTCCGTTAAACGGAGAAAAACTTTGTTAATATTTTGAATTATTTATGTAAAAAATCTGAAAATACCAAGCATCTCGTAAACAAATATAATTTTATTTAAATAATGACATAATTGGTATGTATACAAATATGTTATTTAAGAAAATATTTGTTTCTATTAAGTGTTAACATATTACACAATATTGTTTTATATTTTATATTAAAATTGTGTAGATAACGTGATTAACTAAAAAAATCTCTTCCGGAACACTTACTATTAAGAAACTCATATGAAGTATTTACCCGGCTGGCAGCAGCTGACTTCTACGTTATGGCTTAATTTTGAAATCTATTAAATGTTAACAAATTAAACAATATTGTTTTATATATACACTATGTAGATAAAGAGATTAACTAAAAAAAGTCTGTTCCGGAACGCTTTATATAACAAAACCCATATGAGGTATTTACCCGTCCGGGGGCTGCTACATTATGTCCAAATATTGAAAATTACTCCGCGGAGTAGAATTATCCATTCGCAACAAATATTCATTCATTCGTAATATAATATTTTCATGAATATGTACTTTTTTATGTTTATTTTTCACAAAAAATTAAGTTTTACTTAACTTCAGGCACTCACTTAAATTTTGCAAATAAATCTGCCGGAATAGAATTTTTCGTTTGAAACAAACATTATTCAATTCAGAATATATTTTCCTCACAAATTTTAATATCTTTATCATTATTTTTTAATAAAATATAAACATTTTACAAAAATTTTTCATTAAATGAATTCGCCGTACTTATTGTTTTTGATATCTACGTAAACCAAATGCAAAAACAAAATACATGTAAAATGTTGTTGTTGCAGAACTGCCACCACCTTATCTGAATTCGCCTTGCTGACGTCAGTGCGTACCAGTCAAGTGAAGAAGAAAATAATCAGCTGATTGAATAACACCACCTTATCTGAATTCGCCTTGAAGGCGGCTTAACAATTGTTTCTTGCCATTATGGCAACTCCTTTTGCACTTTTTCACTCTCTCTCTCATTCTTTGTTTACATTTCATTTGTCAAATTAACCGTTTTTATTTTTTTAATTTGGCAATACTTTTTATACAATTTCATTAAAACAAATTTAAAAAAGAATCTTGTCGATAATTAAAAACACAATCATTAAGCTTGCACCTCTCCACCGTATTCTCGTCATGAATTCTAATGAAAACTCCAAGAAGAAGCCGCAAAACATTAAAAAACAACCTGTGCAAAGTGATACAAATGATTCTGGCCATGGAGGCAGTGATACAACCTATACCGCTTCCACCCCCACACCAGTGGAGACAATGACTTCAAGAGATTTTCATTTAGATTATAATGCCCATGTCGAAATGATGAATCAAATGCTTAAGGACACCGTACGTATTGATAATTTCAAGGCGGCCATTCTGCACAATAAACATTTGTTTAAAGGAAAATGTGTTTTGAACATTGGCTGTGGCACCGGTATTTTTGCCCTGTTTGCCGCCAAAGCTGGTGCTGCAAAAGTTTTTGCTGTAGATCCTTCAAATGTTGTATATTACACACGCCAAATTGTGCAGGCCAATGGTTATGAGGGAGTGATTGAAGTCATTAAGGGTAAAATAGAAGAAGTAGATTTGCCCGTGAAGGAGGTGGATATCATAGTTTGTGATTGGATGGGTTATGCCTTGCTGTATCAGGCGATTTGTGATTCTGTTATTTTTGCTCGTGATAAGTGGTTGAAAAAGCCAGGTGGTTTAATATTTCCCGATCAAGGCAAGTTGTATATGGTGGCTTTGGAGGATACTAAACATAAAAATGGTAACATTAATTGGTGGTCAAATGTTTATGGTTTCAATATGAGATGTTTGCGAGAGGTGGCTTTAATTGAACCGCGCTATCAAAGTATTCGACCAGATCAGGTGAGTTAAGGGGAATAATTGGTAAATCCTTGTGAGCAAAGGAGAACATTGTCCTATTGCTTATTTTTGCTAATTCTTTACTTTTCTGTTCTTACAGGTGATGAGCAAACAATTTCCCATCAAATCTTTAAACCTCAATACAGCTACTCTGGATGATCTGAAATTTCGCAGTAAATTTATGCTGCCCATACAAAAGACGGGACATATGGACGGTATAGCTCTCTATTTTCATGTATATTTTACAAAATCTCATACCCCATTGGGATTTAGTACGGATCCCTGGTCACCGCGTACCAATTGGTTGCAAACCATACTATTTTTCGATCAATCATTGCCCATCAACTCGGGCTCTTTATATTACGGTGGTATAGAATTCATACCCAAAGAAGGCGGTAATCTTAACGATATTACTGTTAATTTGGAAATGTTAATGGGTGATCCAACACAAGCCGATATTGAAGTTGAAATGTCTTGGCATTTTAAATTAGCCACAGCAGCAGCAGCGATCAGTGATAGTAAAGCTAAAACTTTAGACAATAATAAAGATAAAAGTAAATGTAATAATTTAAAAACAATTAAGAAACCAAATATTGAAGAAAATTCAAGTAATAATCACAAAAATGAATCTAAATTATCTAATGATATAACAAAAGTGCCTAAAATTCCTGATAATAGTAACCAAAATACCTTAACAAATCAAAATTCTATTATATGTTCGGGTTTAGTAGTGACCACAGATAACTTAAACAACACCATAACAATTGGCAAACATAATTATCCTTGTCGCAAGAATAAACGCAATAAAAGTAAGTACCCAAAAAAGGGTTAATTATTTCCTTTTCTACGGTTTTAATTTAGTTTACGTAGTTAATAATTAATTAATTAAATGATTATTAACTTAAATGTTCATTAACTTGCTATGTTTTGTTATTTGATTAATATTTTTTATATTAAAAGGTTTGTTTAATTAGCAAATCTTTATTGTTATTTATTTTTTAATTTATTAATTCTTTTTTTTTTTAATTGAAGTACATATTTTAAAGAATTTTATTTAAACTTTTATTAGTTTCCTAATTTTGTTAAAAATAGCAAGTTAATGAATATGTAAAAACTATTTTTCCTTTTCAACATTCTTTATTTGTTTTCATTTAATTTTATTAGTTTTGTTTTCCATTTATAAAAATGAATTATTAGAAAAGTTTTTAAAACATCCTAATTTTATTTTAATTTTTTTAATCACTTTAACTTATTTCCTAAGTTGACCCTAATCTTTTGTTTTTTAAAGTAGAATTTTTAAAATTCCTAACATTAGTGGTGATGAGGTTTCGCTTCGTAAAGCAATAACTTTCGTTTAAAAAATTATTAAATGAAGAAAATTATAAAATTATAAAATGAATTCATTAAACCGAGAAAATTATACATAAATTTATAAAAAAAAACAAATACCCAAATAATAAATATTGTAGAATTATAAAAAGAATAAATTTGTAAAATTAATAATACTTTGGAAAAGTATTTGGCAAATAAATTATAAAATACTTTTTGTACATATCGAGAAAACTTTAAACTTACATGGTGGTTCTAAGGAAAATTTATAAAAAAAAAAAAATATGAAATTTGAATTGTCGATACAAAACAGCCATATAATTAATATCGAATTATATTTTTTTTAATAAAAATCTAAATTTTAAAGCTGTGAATGAAGTTTTATCAATATATTGTAGTGTGATATAAACGTATTTTATTTTTTGAAATAAAAATCCAATATTTCAAATGTGCTTAATAAAAAATTATTTTATTTATGCAAATGATGATGAAAAATGTATGGACATTAAAAAGGTTTTCAAATCTACACTAATTTAGTTCCATTCCTTAATATCTTAACTTTATTAAAAGACTTCGCAAAAGGAATAATGTTCTTCACTTTAACCAACACATCAGCAACACAATAATTTGATATTGTATCGGTATTCCCAATGTGCAGAAAAACCCGTCTTTATTCTTGATAGTAAATAACAATGACAAGTTTAACTAAAGCCAGCAATGTACCTCTATTTACGTTCCTAATCTGGTTTGAAAGGCGCTGGGGACTTACAATGGAAAAACAGAATCCGAAATATATTATCAATTTACAGTGGAGAAATATTCAAAGCCGTTCTATGGATTGTAACGGGTTGCTTGCGAATAACATCGGAGCACTACCAGCATGAGGAAACGAAAGTCCTTCAGTCATGTTAACCAAACAGTAAAACGAACTTTAACACCACACAGTTTGACGCTCCTCCCAGACATGTCAGGAAGGACATTCGTAAACAATAATGACAAGTTGAACTAAAGTCATAGCAGCAATGTACCTCTATTTATGCTCCTAATCTAGATTAAAAGGCGCTGGGAACTTACAATGAAAACCCAAAAAACCGAAATATATTATCAATTTCTAGTGGATATATTCGCCATATTCAAAGCCGATCTGTGGATTGTAACGGTCTGTATTCTAATAACTTCGGAGCACCACGAGGAAAGGAAGGTCCTCCCATTCATGTTGACTAAACTTGGATATCACCGAAGGAGTCATTCTTACTTTTACATCACACAGTTGGATGCGCTCCTCCGAGACATGTCAGGAAAGACATTCGCAGAGCAGAGCATACGAAGATATGTGCAGGATCACTTGGATCGTAAGTCGTATGCAGCAGCTTTAAACGACATTCATTCAGGTCCCTGCATGAGAGTTGTTTTTGGAGGTCGACAACCGCTGTACGTAGCCCAATAAAATTATGGACTCACCTGCAGAAGTAACTCAATTTCTTGACTTGGACCTAAATACAAAACCTCAGGGTTAAAAATTTTATAGTTTAAACTATTATACAACAACAACATCAACTTCCAGATAACAACACAGGCATGCAGGCGGAAGTCCTTAGTCTATAGAAGATCTTTTAAAGAGCAGTCTTCACTAAAATCTCTTTTAGACTCAATGATGATTGCAGTATCCTGCAAGCTGAAATATCAGCGATCAAGAGGACGTCAAATTGACTAAGATACAATTGGATGTCTAACAGAGGTATTAGTATTAATAGCGATAGTGAAGCTGCTATTAAATCACTTATTAAAGTGTTTTCCATATACATATAGAACTGTCCATGAATGCCGGAGTTCTCTCAATGAGATGGCAAGATATTTAAATAATACCCACGTGACTAAGTGAACTGGAAATAGGCCAGTTCTGTGGAGTTTCTCTATCTGCAATAAAAAGACAGATCAGGACCGTTAGTCGAGTGGAGAAGTTGTCAGAATGAGGATGAAGATGGTACAGTAGACCATCTGTCCAGACCTGGAAACCGTTTAAAACCGAACTCTAGAGTCGAATAGGGAATGGATAAAGAAACCTTGTTGGCTACCTATAAAACAATTGGCCGGATCACTGTTTCAGGTTACTACATGAGTGTTGTTTGCACCGCCTATAGGAGAAATAGAGAATAACCTGCTGCGGGAAACTAGAGTTGCTCTGACACAACTGAGATCGGAAGGGCACATACTTATTGTTAAGCCTTCATAAATAAGGTAGATTCAATAAATAAATGAATTCGTTAAAAATGCTAATCGTGAGAAGTTGAAAAAAGAAATCGACCGGTTTAGCGAAATCACCTGCCTCACTTCGATTTCAATGTGGCCTCTTTATAATGGTCCCAAGTCAAGTTTATTGTTAAGCTTTCGTAGGGAGCAGATAAGAATGCTGGTACATTCTTCGATTGGCAATCATTCCAGATAAATGGGTCTCGAATACAACGACTAATGTAGGAGTTGTCATAATGAGGAGGAAGAGGAAACAATACTTGACCTCCTTTGCTATTGCCTATCATTCAGTGAGAGCAGAGAACATTTTTTCGGCTTTGCTGGTGTCTTTTGTCTAAAGGAGCTATCTGGGATAGGACTCAAAAGTATCCTAAACTTTGTGAATCAATCGGGCTGGTTTAAATCTGGAAGTTTCGAGTAGTATTTGCTATGAATACTAGGGCATCATAACGGTACAGCAATTGGGACGAGACATGTGAACCACTCATGATTAATTGAGTGGCTAGCCATCTTATCTAAACTTAAACCCAACAAATATGTAATAGTTTCCTCCTTTTCTAATGGATACCAAGTCGACTTCTATAAATTCTGAACCTTCAGTGAGCCATTATTATGGACACTAATGGACAAATTCTATGGACAAATTCTCAAGAGTGAAGTCTTTGTAGTCTTATTCGACTATACATATGTATATGCTGAGAAAAGCTGTAGAATGGAACTCTAAGGAAAAGATCTATAACAGAACCTTCCAACATTATAGACTCCCACGAATTGGAATTCTACAATCATTGAGACTGGATTTAATTTAGATCCTTTATTCCTAAATGAAGATTAATATAATGATACCCTGACATCTATCATCAGAAAAATAATCACCCCTATTCTGCATTTCGATTACGTTTCCGCATTCAGCTACGATCGAAAATTGGTATTCCAACAAAAAAACGGAAACGTATGCAAAAGAAGAAGCAATACCATTTTACTTCAATGCTTAACGATTGTGTGTATTCTGCATTACGATCGTAACTACGTTTTTGTAAGTTGTTTTTTTAGAGATGGAGTTTAATCGAAATGCAGAATACCAAAGTTGCCAAACGGAGAAAATTTCGATTCGAATTGAAATACGGAATAGGGATGAATTATCGATCGTAATAACACTGGTCTTTTGCGATCTCCGAAAACCTTAGATCAGCATCTTTAGAAGAAATAATGCTAAATCAACGAAAGTTTAATCGAAATGCAGAATACCAAAGTTGCCAAACGGAGAAAATTTCGATTCGAATTGAAATATGGAATAGGGATGATTTATCGATCGTAATAACACTGGTCTTTTGCGATCTCCGAAACCTTAGATCAGCATCTTTAGAGGAAATAATACTAAATCAACGAAAGTCAAGAACACAACAACGTTTGTGAAAACTTTAGAATTTGCAAATTTATTCGTAATTGAATATAGGATGAATAATGAAACCCTAACATCACCTCCAGAAAAATAACGATCGATAGTATTTTAATCAATAAAAAAATTACTTTTTATACGGAATCAAAACTCACAATTCTAAACTAGAAACTTTACTCCTTCACATCTGTAATTTTAGTGAGATCTTGACTTCATAAAGTTGTAAATAAAATATTTATGCAGTTAACAACATTATCCTCTTAATGATTGGATACCAATTATACTTCAACAATATTCTGTTCCCATTTAATAAATATATTCCAATCTTTTTACCAATTATTAACCAATTCAATGAAATTTGTAGGTCTTTTTTTCATATTTATTTAGCAATTTGTTTCCAGTTAAAATTAACTTTTCATTGTATATGTATTGATTGTGTTTGTTTGTTTGTTTGTATGTATCAACAACATTTATGTACAACAAATTTAACATTAATAAATTTTCATTTATAAACATTTAGTAAATCAATTTTGATATTTTCAACAAATTTCCGCACGAAACATATTATAATACACAGACTACAATACAGACTTTTAATTAATAAATACACCAACATCATAATTATTGTATGTATTTTTTTATTTATTATTACAACAATAATAATAATAACTATATAGTTTTTTTGTTTTATAATTTTTATATTTATTATTTTGTATCATTCCTTTAGATGGCTACAAAAGAGCTATAAAAATACTTGTGTTTTTTTATTATTTTTAAAAATTTTACCAAAAATTAAATGAAAAAAATTAACATTTTAAATAATATTTTGTTTTGAATGCGTTTTTATAAACCTCTATAAACTAAAAAGAATTTATTAGTAAAATGAATACCTAGAGCGTATATTATTAAGTTTTTGTTTTTTCATAGTTTTCACCTTAACAACAGTTTCTTGCAGTGTAGTTATTTTAATAATTATTTGTTTTTGTTTTTAACTTTTTTTGTTGTATATAATGTTTACATTTATATGTTTGTTTGTATAATATATATAGAGCAATGTTAACTTTTTTATTATTTTTAATATAATTATGCATGTATTTAAATTATTTATTGACTTAAAGTTTTAACATATTATTAGTATGTTTTTACTCGCATTTTGTTAATATTAATATATTTAATTTTTTTATGTAATAATCTTTGTTTAAGTAATTTCGTTTTATCGTCACATTGTTTTTCTCAAGAGTTTTTTGTTTTTTAAGCTTTTACATAGTAAAGAATAAGTTTATTTAAACAAAAAACAACTGAGTTATAAAATTTAAAAAAAAATAAGCAAATATTTTGCATAAAAACGAAATAAACATTTTTCCAGTGTAAATAATTAAAATATGAATTTGTAAAATCCTTTATAGCAAAGGTATACAAATTAACAAATAAAAATTTAATTGTTGTTTTTAAAAAATAAACAAACGTCATTCCTTAACATTTGTTGTCCTTTTCATTTCTTTAAAAATTTGTCTGTTTTTTTCTGGGGCAGACTTTTACTTTTAAGTCAAATTATTGTTAAAGTGTTTATAATTTATAATTGAGGCTTTCTTCTACTTCGGTTGTTCACTTTCTACTTTTTCTGAGCAGCAGCAATTTCCTCAATCTTTTTTCGTCTTTTACTTAATAAAGCATTATTTGACTTATCCAAGGCCTTGATGTGCATCTGCAATCAAACCAAATGTTATTATTTTTAATCCTTTCCACTATTTTACCCTCTCACCTGACTCACCTGATCATAATCAACTCTCATTGTTGCCAAGGATCTGGTCATTTCTTCTTGCACTTCAGGCCATGTTTCTTCACCCTCTTTAAGCATACGTCCTGTACACAGTGGTGTCATTGGTACTTCCATATACTGGGCAATCCATTTATTACGCATTACTTCTTCGATGGTCAAACGTTTACTGGGATCTACATTTAACATGCCTTTAATTAAGTCCTTGGCCGATTGGCTGACATTTTTCCATTCTGGATTGGGAAAATCATATTGACCGGTACGTATGCGTTTTTTCATGCCCGGCGATATGGCCAGACCGTTATTACTGTAGAATGGTGGAAAGCCACAAAGTAAAATGTACATGATAACGCCTAAAGACCAAATGTCACAACTTTTGTCGTATTTCTCGGGACCCAAAACTTCAGGAGCTGTAAAAGATAAGAAAAAAAGTTTGTTAATACATTTTCAATTTTGATTCCTTGTAGTTAGGGAGGTTTTTAAAGTGAAGTTCACCTATCAGACATTTTCAATTTTGATTTGTTAGACCTGTTCCACACTGGGGAACTTTTGTTGAGAAACTTTTTCTTAATTCTCTTTTGATGTTTCTTTAATGTCTACACATATAATCTTTTGTTTCAGAAACTATGTATTAATGGCATTGCAAACAAAACAAGTTTCCGAGTACTAGAAACTTCGTACCGCGAGAGAGATGAATGATATTTCTTTCTTTCTCACTCAAAATCAAAAGTTTTCTAGTGTAGACAGGCACTTATAGATAGAGGGGTCTTTAAAGACCTATTAGACATTTAGTTGTTTCAAAAACTCTGGCAAAGATCCGCATAAAGTAGCGATATATTATAAATATTCAAAATAATTTTGATATTGCTAATCGCCATAGTTGTGTTTTATACATTGACTATATTGACAGATAGATATCCCACAAGTTTATAAGACGTATCCGACATACAAATTTTACAGGATTCCGGAAACACCGCAACTTGTATACAGAAATGTAAATAGTATATATTGCAAGCCACACCGCAATATCAAAACAATCAATAACCATCTGGCTTTTATACTCTGGCCTCTATGTATTCTCAAACAAAGTTTTTAATTGGAATGCCATCAGAAGAAGATCATAGGAATAAAAGAGATAAGGGGTATCTCAGAATGAGATAGCGAGACATTCTAGAATAACACTAATATAGGTCCCTGGACATAGTAACTGTCAGGAAAACTGTGTAGCTGAAGAACTTGCCAGAAATGGTGCGATGAGAGAGAAAGATGAAATCGACGAATTTACTGGTATCTCCCTTACAAACTGTAAGACACTGGTTCAGGCTGTACCATATGAAATGGCCCTAACCAGATGGTTTAGTGAAACCACCTGTCTATCTTTGAGGTCAATTTGACCTCTATACGATGATCCCAGGTCAAGCTTACTGTTAAGCTTTCTCAGGGAGCAGATAATAATGCTGGTATCAATCATAACGGGACACTGTGCAATCGGCAATCACACCAGAAGAATGAGTTTCGACTACTGTAGAAGTTGTCATAAGGAGAAGGAAGAGGAAACAATATCTCACCTCCTTTGTTATTGCGGATAACAATGTTTCGGCTTTGCCGCTCTCTCTTATTTCGAGGAGCTAACTGGTATAAGCCTCAAACATATCCTATACTTTGTGAATCAATCTGGCTGGTTTAAATCTGGAAGTAATAAGTAGTACTCTAATGTACTCCTATGATCACTTGGGCATCACAACGGGACCGCAAATCGGTGGACCCATATGATCCACTCATGATTGATTGACTGACTACCCTTCTTACCTAAACCTAAGAAATGTGTATTAGTTTTCCCCTTTTCTAATGGATACCAAGTCGACTTGTATAAAATCTGAACCTACAGTTCGCCATTATTATGAACACCAATGCATCTAGCTGAAAACGACAATTTCTCAAGAGTGAAGCCTTTGTAGTCTTATTCTACTATATATTTTCTGAGACAAACTGTAGAAAGGAACTTTAAAGAAATGATCAATATCAGAACTTTCCTATATCATCGTCTCCCACGACAATCTAGTAGCTATTTAGTAGGCGGTATTTACCTATCAAGTATTCAATAGGATTTAAGACAATTTCAGCCTTTTTAATCACTTATATATCCTGCTTGGAACTCTAACTCTAAATCAAAATGGTGATTCTTTACTCCTAAATGAATATTAATATAACCAGAGAAATAACTATCGATCGTAATTACGCTGATCGTGTATTTTCTCCGAAAACCTTAGATCAGCATCTTTAGAAGAAATAATGCTAAATCAATGACAGTCAAGAACACAACATCGTTTGTGAAAACTTTAGGATCAGTGTGATGTTTGCAAATTTATTCGTAATTGAATATAGAATGAATAATAAAACCCTAACATCTACCTCCAGAAATATAACGATCGATAGAAATTCAATCAAGAAAAAATTACTTTTTATTCGGAATCAAAAGTCAAAGTTGTAAACTAGAAAATTACGATCAACTTTACTCGATCTCATCTGTAATTTTTGTGGGACCTTGACTTCATAAAGTTATAAGGAGAAAATATCAGTCTAATAATAGGCAGGTTTCACCTATAGCCTTTTGAGCTACAGTTTGGAGTTTGATCGCCAAGGCGATCTTCCCATCTAATGGTTATTGGGAAACATTACTTACCAACATAATATGGTGTATAGCATGGCGTTTGTAGGGTATCCTTAATAAGGGTTTCTTTGGCAAAGCCAAAATCTGTTAATTTTAAAATAGCATTTGGATGTGGCGATGTATATAATAAATTTTCAGGTTTCAAATCACGATGAGCAATATCACGACTATGCAGAAAATGTACGGCCACACAGATTTCATGCATTATTTGAGCAGCCTCTAAAGAAAAAACCAAAAAAATCAAATAGGTGTAAAATTATGTGTACTTTAACAAACTATAAATATTTACCAACCTCTTTCGGTAAATGCACCATCTGCATTATCTTGTATACGTTGAAAAAGTTCACCACCCTCCATACTAAAACATACATAGAGATAGAGATACAAAGTTATAAAAAACACATAGTCATTAGATAAAATGTAATCTAATAATTCTCTATACAAAAAAAGAAACTAAACGTTATCATTATTTAATTAATTCATAATTATAATTATTGTGCAACAATCGTATCTTTCTATCTAACTAATATATCTAATGATGATATAAATGAGATAATGTTCATTCACTACCCACCATTCCATAACGACTAAGAGACATTTATTACCAGCATATGTATTCTCATAGACATCGGCAATATTGACAATATGACGACAGCTACTGACACGCCAATGTAGGTCAACTTCACGTCTCGCTTTAGGACTGTCCAATAAAACCTTTTGTTTCAATGAAATAACGCAAAAGAGGAAAATAATAAATTAAACATAAGAAGTTTTTGATGGAAAAAAAATAATAAATTCGAATTGGAAATTAAGTTAGATTTGCATTCGGTATTATTTATACACCATTTCCAAATGTTAAACCTTGGAATTAATTAATCAGTTCAGATTAAAACGAAGAAGTTATTCTTTCCCGAATAGTATTTTGAATGTTATAAGGAACATGATATTTCATTGTTATCCTTTGTCTATTCCTTTTTTGAATCCTATTAAAAATGTTCTTTGAATTTAGGAGAAATGATGAACTCATTTCTCACACCATTTGAAGATTTAGAATAGAGCATGACATCTTTTGTTTTGGAATAAATCCGTCTTCAAGGTATGTCACAATAGGCGTAATCATATAAACGGGTTGATCAAGGATTCAAGATTAGATACCATTCTATCGTTAAATCTGGCTTCAGTTATGACTAAACCGTTGGCGTGACTATATATACGGAAACCTAACCTCTACAGTTTCTTCAGCAGTTTCTCATTTCTCACACCATTTGAAGATTTAGAATACAGAGTGATATCTTTTTTTGGGATAAATCCGTCTTCAAGGTATGTCACAATCGGCGTAATCATATATACGGTTTGATCAAGAATTCAAGATTCGATACCATTCAATCGTTAAATCTGGCTTTAGTTATGACTAAACCGTTGGCGTGACTATATATACGGAATCCTAACCTCTACAGTTTCTTCAGCAGTTTCTCATTTCTCACAACATTTGAAGATTTAGAATACAGCGTGCTATCTTTTTTTGGGATAAATCCGTCTTCAAGTTATGTCACAATCGGCGTAATCATATATACGGTTTGATCAAGGATTCAAGATTCGATACCATTCTATCGTTAAATCTGGACTCAGTTATGACTAAACCGTTGGCGTGACTATATGTATACGGAACCCTAACCTCTACAGTTTCTTCAGCAGTTTCTCTCAGACGTTTATGTTTGGTTCTGAAAGTCTCTGAGAACAGTGATTGTCAGTTTTTTTCCTAGCAGGTAAGATATTCGTTTAGAAATACGTTTAGAAATTAGAAATAAATGAGAAGCATTAGATCAGAATCATTGTTATAAGCAGGACGTCTTTGTAAAATTCGACACTCAGAAGTTGTAGTCAACAAAGACGCTCGAAGAGTATATACGATACAAAGAACTATCGTTTTTTGAAGAAGCTACGTATTGGCAAAGAAAGAACATTAAAAAACCTCTGGGAGTTCAAATTTTTCGGACTAATCGGGTAAACAGTTAACCCAAAATTTAGCTTTACCATTTCGTTAGGAAATGATCAATCAGAATTACAATATACCTAATCATGTATGGCTTAATAAGTCCCAAAGATCCCCAGGAGATGGTTTTATTCGCGAAAAAGTTCTCTTTGGAAAACTTAATGATCATGATCATTAAGACGGCTCAGTAAATCTCAGAGTTCTGTGTAAATGACACAATGTCAAATTGATTGTTAGTACTTGATCCACACACTATTTGAAGTTAGAACCTATTAATACAAAATTCATTTGGAAATGGTGTAGACTATTGTATAAAAATAACATTTCAGAATACTTGTAATTTACATGGGTTCTTCGCATACGATTTGTTATAAATAAATACCTTTAATGCATATTTTTGATTTGTTTTACGATTTGTACATTCAACAACTTTTCCATTTATACCCAGACCCAATACTGTATTAGAAATTTCATAGTCATCGACTAGAGGCGTGGTTTTGGGTGTACGCTGCTGTACATGCTGCTGATGTTGTCCAGCACTTTGACTCATTGGTGGTTTGGCTATTTTAAACATTTTATTTCACTTTCTTATTCCTCCAATAACTTTCTGTGTTTGCAAACTGTAAAGAAATGAATAAAAAGAAAATTGTAATTTATTAGAGATTCTTGAGAAATTACTACTTTAACATCATTAAATAGTTTAGGTTATTTATTTTTATTTAAGACTCTTATATCCTTATAAAATAACATCTTCCTAATACTCTTTTCAATACCTATTATTTATATTTCCCCGGAACTTGCCAATAACATTTAAATGTTATAGGTTTTTATGCATATACAATAAAATTCAATATTTTAATTATTTTCCTTTTCGTTTGTTGGCAAAATTTATTTCAACTTGTCCTTTTTCGTATTGTATATTATATTTTTTAAGTATTTTCTTACTAGGGTATCCTATCAAGGCTTTACCATGTCATGTTAACATGTCGTCAATGTGTGTGCTGTTCATGTCCTAATTGCTTTGTTGTGCAAAAATAAATAAAAAAAGGTCTTAAGGACTTTTATTTGTTTGTGGAACCCTACAGTTTGTAATGCCAAGCGGTGATCTGAGACAGAGGAAAACTGCGTCACGAATGGATGTCTTTTAAAACCCTTTAATTAGGTATAACAGGTAAAGATTAGTAATATATCTCAAGATCCGGTCATTGGAATACCGACAAGAGGATAGTTCAAAACTGTAACAGGCACTGGATCGGTAATTTTCTATGATGCACTTGGTATCAGATTGCCTAATGCCTATATAGTCAGAAATTTAGGACTACAATACGGTTGCGAAAAACATCCGAGAATTAAATCTTGGCTAACCTAGAGCTCTGGCTGCAATCCGTAGGATCTTCAAACTGTCCATAACCTAAGACATATTCTAATTATCACTTTATACTTCTCCATTTTCCATCTCAATATCTATTCGTAGAAGAGAAATCTCTGAGTCAAGAAAGGGAATCTATAAGTGAATCTAAAGATAGTTTCTAACCCTCTCGAGATAAGTTTACATTATTTAACATTGAATTATATATGTTCAGAGTGTAACAGGATAATCCTGAAATCAAATATAACCTCTTAACCTTTTCCTTTATTATTTCGTAGGGCAGATGTTGATTAAAAGTAAATAATATTTTTCAATATTTAACATTATATTATCAAACCCGATGTTATGTAAAATGTTCACTCGTAAAATCAGAACGAAATAGATCAATATGAGACTACTATAGTTAATATCCAATAGATGATTCTAAGATTTAAGCTAAAAGTCATAACATATTTTTAAAATGGTACAGGATATGGAAAGATCGCAGTTGAGATGTTTAGAATTATATTCGATAAAACTCTCTTAGTTCCATTTATAACAAAGTAATCTTAGGGATATCTGTATATTTAAGGTTAGACCCTTTAGGAAATCATTTCGTTGTCAAATCGAGTTACAATTTGTCGTAGCAATTTAAAAAATGGATTGTGATTATTTTTAACAAATTTCTAAGTGCGAAACTTAAGGACATTGTCGGCACAGTAAGTCTCAGAGATCTGTATAAATTTCACAATGTCGAGTTGATTGTTAGGACTCCTTCCTCGCACTATTTTTTATATTTATCTAGATCCAATATCAATATGGAAATTTAGAAAAAAGTTAAAAAGATTTTCCTGGTAGTCTGGTTCAATTTATAAAGATCGACACAGTTCAGTTTCAGTTCAGTTTTTTTAAAGAGAATATATCGTCTCATTAAGTTTGAGAGATCTGTGGATCTGTCGATATGTGGTAGGTAAATTTAAAGATCTTCGGGACGGTAATTGAGAATATTGTTATGCGAATATAAGTATTTACAACTCTGGTAGTCTGGTTCTATTTTTAAAGATCGAATCAGTAAGTTGAATTAGTACTGAACATTGGAAGAATACAGTTCAGATTTTGTTCAAGTTTTTTTAAAATATCGTCTTATTATGTTTAAGAGATCTGTAGATCTGTCGTTATGTATTTAATAGCTGGTGGGTAAATTTAACGATATTCGAGCCGGTAATTGAGAATGTTGTTATGCGACTATAACTATTTACAACTCTGGTAGTCTGGTTCCATTTTTAAAGATCGACTCAGTAAGTTAAAATAGTACTGAACACTAGAAGAATACAGTTGAAAGTTTTGTCAAGGTTTTTAAAAGAGTATATCGTCTTATTCACTGTGAGATATCTGTGGATCTGTCGTTATGTATTTAATAGCTGGTGCGAAAATTCAAAGATCTTGGGGCCGGTAATTACAACTCTGAAAAATATATTAAATTTATGAAGTTGTATATTGTACCTAATTCTTTAGTCGACTTTGTCTGATGATGAATTCTCTACATATTACATCTAAAAATATACATGCATACGTTATACATATTTCTTTTTTATGTTCAATATATTTCACTTGATATTGAGTATAACACAAAAAAAAAAAACAATAAAAAAAACATAGCCCAGAAGGTCAATATGTTCCTTTTTTGAAATATTAAAATTTATTAAGAAAATCTTAAAATTGTTCCTATTAAGTTTTTCTTTCTTTGGAAATTTATTGACAAGCAATATTTGTTTCTTGATTTGATTGAAAATTATCAAAAGAATTTCATAAAGGAGAACTTTGTATAGGATGGTACGATCTCTATTAGTCGGAGCCGACATTCATGCAATGTGAGGGACAGAGAGAGAATAATGTTTATATATTTTTCATATCAACTTACACCGCGATACTAATACATATTAGTGAGTCAATTATACAGGCCAAACAAATTGTAATCCAGAGAATTTATTCATGATATCTGGCTTTCAAGATATCGTGCCTTGAAATTTGAAAAACTCTCGTTTTTGGACATATTTGTGACGCTATAACAGAGCTAAGACACCTTTATTAAGTATATCTGATGTGATTTATAAATTCTAAGCCAGATTTGGATTTAGCACTGCATAAACCTTAAGAAAAGTGTACTTTGGTCTCTGGCTTTCTACTTTTTTAAAACCATTATGACCTTTTGCTTTTTTGGTACCGATATACATATAATTAAAATAATGTAAAATACATAATATTTCTAGAAAATTCTCATAGATATTAAATTTTATCCTATAAACATATACATACATACATTGTATGCTATTATAGTGTTGTGTGTATTTAATTCCCAGAATATATAAATTTTATTAAATGAGTTTCATTATTAAAGTAAACAGTTAAGACATTAATTAAAATGGAATCAATAGGTAGAAAACAAAAACTTTAATGAAAATGGATTATGATGTTTTTGACATGCATACACACTTTAAGTATATTTATTGTGTATATCTTCTCAGGAGTCTTTTAATTAAATTATTTCATTTAAATTTAATGGGGTTTTGTGGATTTAATTAATTTTTAATAAATTACTTTAATATAGGTACATAATTACATTTATATTATACGTTTTATATAACTAATTACTGCCAATTAATTGCAAATCATTCAGACACTTTAAGTGTTTGAAAAAAAAAACTTATTAAAGGAAAAATAAATTAATTACTCTAAATAGTTTTAGGCAATTTATTAAATCTTTCTCCTACATGGAAATTAAACTGTTTTTCTGAGAAAATTCAAATAAAAAACTCATTCCATATATATTTTGAGAAAAGCTGAAATTTTGATGATTAGTAAAGCATGTTTAATAAGTAGTGAGAGACTGATATTATATGATTTATACTAGGGTTCTATAATTCGACTTTCGAATAAGTCGAAGTCGACTATTTTGCTCGACTATCGTCTATGAAAAAAGTCGAAAAGTCGACTTTGTAAATAAAAGTCGAAAAAAGTCAAAAAATGTCGAAAAGTCGATAAGTCGTAAAAAGTCTAAAAGTCATAAAGTCGGAAAAAGTCGAAAACTCGAAAATAGTAGAAAAAAGTCAAAAATAGTCGGAAATTTTAAAAAAGTGGAAAAAAGTCAAAAACTCTAAAATAGTCGGAAAAACTCGAAAAAAGTCAAAAAATAGTCGAAAAAAGTCGAAAATAGTCGAACAAAGTTGAAAAGTCGGAAAAAGTCGAAATGTCGAAAAAAGCCAAAAAGTCGACTATAAAATACTAAAAGTCGACTTTTAATTAATACTTTTTATTGGAACACAAAGTCATGTTGTTAATAGAGATGCTCCCCGATCCATGTCAATAATAATATGGGTGTTTAAATGCCACACCTTTGTTAATGAAATATTCTGAAATCAAGTACGCATCGAGCTCATTTCATCATTCTAATAATAACTCCCTCTGCAATATCGTTAACACCACAAAATTTTGCACACATAAATCTGATATTTATTGAAATCGTATTACCATAGCTCCCATATAAGACTCACCTCCGAATATCAATTAAGTGAACATAATTCATTCACAAATAACATTTTTCCGGAATCGGTACCTTATTGAACATAACATCCATATTAGGTCCACCTCCAAAAATTACATAGATTAAAAAATTTTTAATCCGAGACTAAAGTATACTTTTCTAAAGGATCTGAATCCACCCTATATAATACTTGCCTCCGAAAATCAATTAAATGAACATAATTCTTTCACAAATAACTAAATCGGAATAATTTTTTTCGGAATCGGTACCTTATTGAACATAACTTCCATGTTAGGTGCATCCTCGAAAATCAGTTAGACGCACAATTCTTTTGGTTGAAGAGGTGGAAGGGTATTTAAGATCGATCATAGCCGAATATGATTGTTTTTAATAACATAGGTTAACAATTTTTTAGTCCTAGAGTAGAATATATTTTTTCTAAAGGATTAAGCAACATATTTGAGACGCTATAACTGCGCGAAGATTCCTTTACTTAGGAAATCTGTTATGTCACCTGATAGTCCAACCTGTCGACTTTAAAAGAACACTTTGGTCTCGGGATTTCAACTTTTTTGAAATTTCGTTGGTCTGTTTTATTTTTTTGTGCCAAAAACATTCATAGTTTCCCAACTCTTAAAAATGGCATCGTTGCTGTGACCTATTTTAAATGAAATCTTTGCAAGAATTATAGTTACAACTAAATTACTTCTATTGCTACAATTCGCAAACAA